GACGTCGGCACCTCGCCCGCCTCTGCGGGGCTGCCTCTACGCGCCGCAGCCCTGGAGACACGCAGGGCGCCTCCGCGGAGCAGGCACCACCATCCGTTCCCAGGCACCTTCCTCTGGCTGCAAGTTCCAGCTCAGGGTCACGGCGCAGAAGAGGGCTTGCAGGGACGCAGAAGCCGATGGACCCCTGCCCGAAGAGGGACTCCTCTCAGCCTGGGACGATGCTGCAGGCAGGCAGCTGGAGCTATTCCCAAAAACCACCGGCCTGGACCAACCCAAGTCACTGAATGCAAGACCCTCACTCCCAAGCTGACCAAACCCCTTAAAACCAGTGTGCTTCTCCCCCTCCCAGGGCCCTGCAGCTATATTTATCTCCTCTTCCAGGCTCCATTTCCAGGTGCCTCCACATGCTCTGATTAGGCCCCAAATTGGAGCGGAGCAGGTGTGCAGCACAGCCAGGCAATGGGGTGGGAGGAGGGAGGCAGCAGAGCATCTCGGCACAAATTCCCAGCTCAGACTCAGCTGGCACTTCATTAGCTTCGAATGCACTTCGCTCCCTCGCACGGAGCCGGGGCAGCTTTTCGTGTGCGTTCACAATCCCCCTATTCATCCACCCTGAATGCGTTTGGCAATTTGTTAGCTCTACTTAAACAGCGAGCAGGGAAAGGCGACTTTGCGGGTACCGCTCTCTTCCTAGGCTGATGCAAAAGCAAAGCACTGCTGGCGCCAGGAGAGGAAAGCGATGCAAACCGCCGATAAGCAGGGCACTGATTTCACATGCCGAGGGCTGATTCAATTAGTTATGCAATGATTGCTCTGAAATTACAAATCCACTCATGACAGAGAGCGCTGCTTCGTTGCCTTTTCCTGGCTGGTATAAATGGTTTGTATTCTAAATTGAATTTAAAACATTGTGCGTCACGCTGCTGCTAAAATGGGAGCTGCTATTTGAGTGCCGCGAGAGTGGAAAAAGAACTATAGGGTGAGTTACCACCTTTGGAAAGCAAAAGGAGCGACCATACAGGTGACTGATCACAGCGGGGGGAAAACGTAGCCACATGCCACTTATTCATACAAATTTCCTAATTCCCTGGAATTAGGGAGCGC